CTATTGGAAGACATTTCAAATTTGCACTATGTCTGGATAAAACACATGTTTTTAAAATAAAAAAGATTTTTTATATAATTATAGATTACTGAACAGTCAACTGACACGACGCCGAAATCGAGTGTATATATGCAACATATGTCTATCACATTTTCACAATGAAGATGCGTTAAAACATCATCGAGAGGAGTGTAATCAAATTATAACCGAAGTACCTTCAGAAAATTAAAAGGTATTAAAATTTAAGAATTTTTAAAATCAATTAGAGGTACAATTCGTTATATATGCAGATTTTGAATGCATTTTAGAACTTATAGATATAGATAAAAATTGTATATGTTTGGTTACGCAGCCACCTCCGACAGCGAAACAAATGCAAGCATCGCAGTCAACGTAGTCAGCTTAGTCGATGCGCTAACTCCTTTATATACATACATAAATACATATATATATATATATTGTAACTTGCTCTGCGAAGCAAGGAGAAAACAAAATTCATTTCGCTTTTATGCAGAATAGTTTCTTAACTCCTCGGCATTGGAAGCGGCGGTGTCCGTGTGCTTTGCATCGCCAGCAGGATTTCTCTCTACTGTAACCTTCGTCCAGGGGGAGTAGGCTGTGTGCCGTCTGTCTATTTTGTCTGGCTTCTTCGCTCTTCAGGAGCTCAAATTCATCGGTGAGCTCCATCAGCTCTTCAATTGTCCTGAACTCACGGCAGGTGATTCTCAACAACTGTTGTGCAACGGTTGGGCAGCGGCGGCGGCACAGCGGGTGGCTCTCGGCAACAGCGGAGCAACGGTGGGAGCGCTAGCAGTACGGCGGGTGATTCTCAACAACTGTTGAGCAACGGTTGGGCAGCGGCGGCGGCACAGCGGGTGACTCTCGGCAACAGCGGAGCAACGGTGGGAGCGCTAGCAGCACGGTGGGTGATTCTCAACAACTGTTGAGCAACGGTTGGGCAGCGGCGGCGGCACAGCGGGTGACTCTCGGCAGCAGCGGAGCAACGGCGGCGGCACAGCGGGTGACTCTCAACAACAGCGGAGCAACGGTGGGAGCGCTACGACGGATGATATGCGGCAGCGGGTGACTTCTAACAGCAACTGGCCCTCGGCAACCGGTGGAGCGAAACGACCTAGCAAGACTGACTCCAGGCACTGCCATTCCCCTAGTCGCTCTCTACAAAAGTAGGGGCTGGAACGGGTCGGCAGTGTCGGAGGCTCAACTAGCCGGCGACCAATTAGGATGCCTAAAAGGCGTGCAATCCTGGTCTGCCGGCGGGTTGAGTCGTACTTGGTTTTGGCTTGGCCAGTCGGTGACACATTGGTGCGCCCGCAGGCAAACCAGCTGATCGACCGATTGGTTACGCCGAGCTTGGCTTGGCTGGCCGGCAAAACATTAGTGCGCAAGCACACCACTAGCTCATCGACCAGTCAAGTCAGCTACTCACCTAGCAAGACTGACCTGACTGCGCCCTTGTTAAGCCTTTTATACCTGATGCGCTGCATGCTTGTTGAGAATTCGTCGTGTGCCGTCCCGATTTATGCAGTGTGGTGAGCGAAGAGGTTGGTGAGTTATTCGGACATGCTGCTGGTGTGCTGCTAGCAGTGCTTCACTTGGTGTAGTGTATATGTACAATGGTGTGTGCATGTACGTCGCTGTATGTATGTCTGTATTTACATGTCCGGTGGAGTATGTATGTACACTATTGTATGTATGTGCGGTGCAGTATGTATGTACAATATTGTATGTATGTACGAGGCTGTATGTTATTGTATCGTAGCGGATATGCTACGTTACAAATGCAAAAAAAATCTTTTCACCAATCGATATCGATAGTAATAAAAAATGTTTCTATGTACTCCTTATGGCAGTAGCACTCCCCCTTCATATACATATGTATGTATTTGGAAATTTTAGTGGACTTTAGACCGTCGATCATTTTTCCTAAATTATTATTTTTGATTATTTGCGAACAGGCTGAAAGTGGCAAAAACAGGAGAAAGAGATGTTTGTTGCTCGACCAGGCTTCTACTAGTAAGAGATCAAAAACAAGTAACGAGCCATCTTCAACCGGTTTAACAACGAGTGGCAATTCTGCAGAAGCCGTGGATATCGCCACTTTAAGCAATACAATATTTAAATACTTTAAAGTTATTAAGCATGTAGGTTATAAAAAAACTCTTAAAAACTCAACTAGTCAGTCAATATGGCTTAAGTTATTTTTGCAAACATTTTGATGGACGAAAAAAGGCACTTAGAAAGAATAAAACTGACTTTTAAGCAAGGAGTGGAACCGAAACCGTAACCGTAACCGATTAAAACCGATTCATTTTTCAAAACCGAAACCGGAACGTTATTTTGATCGGTTTCACACCTTGCTTTTCAGATGCTTTTCTAAACGGTAGTAAGAAATTTATTTTGATATTTCCTATCTTATTTGACTGAGTAGTTTCCGCAGAGAATTTTTTAATAATTGCTGTTTTAATAGTAACTGTTTATTCTAATGAATAGTTTCATGTAGTTGAACAAAACTGACTTTCACCGCAAAAGAAATGGGGTGGTAGCTGAATGCCGCATATGTAAAAAGCAGCTGCAAGGTTCGACGCAAATAACTTCGAACTTCATTCGTCACTTACGATTAAAACATGTAGAAGTTTTAAAAGAATATAAAGAAACAAAATTAGAGACACCACAAGCAAACGGCAGCAAACAAGATGTTTTCAATAAATTAACTATTTCCTATATTGCGGATCTTATGTTACCAGTATCTGCTGTGGAGAAAAAATCTTTTAAGAAGTTGATTGTGTGCAAATCCAAAATTAAAATTAATGAGTAGACCAACAGCAACATCATTAGTAAATACCACATACACATCCATGATTGACAAGTCTAAAATGGAATTGGGTGATTGTGAATTTGTTTGCACTACAGCAAATGTGTGGTCAACTAAGCACAGAAGTTTTTTTGGCTATACATGTCATTGGCTAGATGACTCTCTCCAAAGAAAATCTATTGCTTTGGCATGTAAGAGATTTTTCGGATCACACACACTCGACCGTATACACGATGCAATAATTGAAATTCATACTACTTACGGTCTCACACTAAATAAAATTGTTGTAACCGTTACTGATAATGGGTCAAATTTCGTCAAAGCATTTAAGGAAT